TCTCATATACACGTGTCTATATAGATAAACTCTTGACTTTCATATCTGGAAAAATATTTGGAAAATATCTGGAAAAATATTTGAAAAATATCTGGAGAAATATTTGAAAAATATTTTCACTGTATAAATTGAGTTGAGTTAATTGACTCGTCTAGAAAATGCACAAATGTTTGAAATTCGACTCAATGACACGGTGATCTTATTTGTCATTCTGCGAGTCAATCGTTTGCTCCTCCTCTGGCATTTCGCCAATCCATTATCGTGTGTATTCTCTGCATTAGCACGAATCGCAAGAATTTCAACATTACATAATAACATTACGCATAAACATGTTTGGCACGTAACACGATTAGGGATGCTTAAGTTTAACAACATGTCGTTGCTATAATTATCTTACTTAATGTCAAATATTGCAAACATATTGATTAGATTCGAAAATAATTCAAGAAAAAATTTTGCAAAAGTAAATTGCCGCAACTGCATTATTACATGTTTTCAAAATATAAAAAGAAATTCCAAATCTATCATGCAGAGAGGCTGTTAAATTATATAACGTTATTATTCAGTGTTTTAAGCTGCTCAGTACTTTTTCTCTGCAATACTACCTTTCTCAGGAATTGAAGAAATATTTAATATCTAGAATAAGGTATTGATATATTATTTTTCTATCAAAATATACTTTGTAAGAGAACGTCTTTACGCTTATCGTTGTGGCCTGACATCCAATCGATAATCATTGCTCCAAGAGCAATCTCGTTCGGAGTTGCAGGGGGCGGAAAAAATGACGTCATTCGAGACGCAAATGATTACTTTGAAGAACGGAGTGATGCGTGGGTGTGCGATACGGGAGTATTAAAAAGCTCGCAACCTCGTGACGCTAGGCAACAGTGACCATAAATCGGGATGAGACAGTTGAAAGGTAATATTTATATATGTGAAGAGGAAAAAACTCTTTTGTAGGATAGGAGTAATAATCGCTGTAACTTTATATCCCTAAACTTAGATTGAAAACGAGTGATTATCCCGTCGCCTCTCTTTATAATCGCGTACGAGTGATATTATATCATATTTTTCCCATTAATTCTTTGCAAATCTTTTTTACACATATTCTACTATTAATTTTTCAAAATATAATAACTACAAGTTTAATTTTAAACAATATTTGCACAATAGTTAAATTTTTTTTTTATAAAACTATTTTTTTGAAAATATGTATAAGTTGTCATATAACACTGTTACATATATCTCTTCATAAATGTATTAAATTATTCCCTTTTCTTTTTTTGTTGCACATAAAAAATATTTATTATTAAAAATATTTATAATTAGAAATTAAATATTCCAGAGATCTTTTATACCCCTTCCAAAAAATATTTAATAATTCCTTATTTAACGAAGATGCTATAATACGTATTTTCTTTATCAATGTTTGTTAACGCAATGATTATTAAATCTCATTCATAATCAGTTGTTTACCTAAATTGCTGAAAACTGAATCGTCGATTTAAATCAACGCACATTTCTCAAAAATGTTAATGGTATCATTGATTACTCTTTCGTACTACGTAAGTAAATAATTATCTTATCAAGCATGACCTTTCGCATGCAATCGTGAAAATTATTTCTGTCAAATATGTATATACTACAAGACAAAATTTCTAAATTGTTAAAAAAATTCTAAAAGGTTCAACATCAACGTCATTTTTCAATGATTTATCAACATATATTTTGACGGTTTTTAACACATGTTATGTAATGCTTCTTTTATAAATATTAGGAAGTTATTCTTATATATATACGCGATACAGTAAGAAAAATTCTCGGCAAATATACGAAGAACGCACCATCGTGCATATTTATACCGAAAAAGCAAGAAAGCTCCTTTTTCAAAAAAAAAAGATAGCTCTTTTCATCTATTTCTATTTTACTCCCGCGAGGAAAGAAAAGAAACAAATGCGAACAATACTTAGCTTACGTAAACTTAGCCGCAAGAACCATATACTTTAAATATACATATACATCCACGAGTAAAGAAACAATTTAAATTTTATTTATGTTTTAAGTTTCGCTTGAAGTATTAACACAGTAACCGATCTGCATATAAGCAAGTAATAAATATTTATGTTTTATGATACAAGTATCAGTAAGCAAAATGCAAATATTATGTAATTTGAAATGCTCATCCATGTGGGCAAAAAATCAATAGTCAAACAACTGGCGAAAAAAAGGCGATAGCGAATCGAACGCAGATTTAAATAGAATATATATATACAGGCATACATATACATATATATTTGTGTATGTATGAATATATATGTATATGCAATTTAATGCAAAATATATCTCGCGGCAAACGCGGACAATGTCGCGTGGCCAACCACGTGATAAACGTCACCTTTTGTTGAAACTGCGGTCGGCAAATTAATACATACCAGGGCACTGATTGGCCAATGCCTCGTAGATCGTGGCCGGTCGAGCACCCGTTATGCTAATTTAATAAGTGTCGTTTCTTATAAATTCTCTAGCTTTCCGTTCGCTTCCCTTCTCACCGTGGCGATCGAATCGAGGCGTAATTGCGTTCGGTACAAACGCGTAAACGGAAAATAGCGTTCAAATATAAACTCTTTATGCGGCTTACCCCCGATAATCGATCAAATTATGCTAGAATAACGAATCATTCCGTAATATTTTTTATGCGAAAATTATCACGTCGAAATCTTGCGAAAATGTTCTAAAAAAAGTATGCTAGAATATTTCCATCATTAAAATCTGTTTTCTAAACTTTGAATCGAGATGTTTAATTTTTGACTTTTTAGTATCTTCATCCTTTGAATTAAAATTGGAATCGCATCATATTTTTCATATACATTAATCCGACTTAAGGAAAAATTGATAAACAGAGCTACTTTTTTTCAGTTATATAATTCGATTACGTAAAACTTATCATTCCAAGATTGCGACTTGAAAACTGAGATGAGAAGGAATTTTAATTGCAACTATAAATTAAATGTTATTAAAAATCAGCTGCCAAATTAAATAAAATAATAATCTTTCGCTTTGGAATCAATGAGCTTCGATTTTATGCAAAATTTTATTACGTCTGTGTAATAAAATTTTTTAAATTAAGGAAAGGCAGGTCAAAATAGTGAAAATTTGTTTCCAAGATAATACTTGATATACGCAAAAAAAAGAAATATAAAAACAATTCTTTTTCCATTTAAATAAAAAGTGATAAATATTTATTTTAAATGATTGCTATCAATAGAACAAAAATATGAATATAATTTAAAAAATTTTTGTTCTGTCGAATTAAAATCTCTTGAGTTCCTTGATTTCAAGTAAAAAAATAAAGAGCATACTTCTTATTGCATCTTTTTGAGATATTTTCTTTGCACATTGTAGCCCCGCAAATTATATTTCGAAAATTCGAGAACATTTGCGATTCTACTAAATTCGATCCACACGCGCATGTCAAATAACTCGGGCGAAGGTTGACGACCTGCGATTGCTCGAATACGTGATTCCTAGGCAGATTCTACGATTTCACTTATCTAATTGACATTATCTTCTCATGCATGAATTATTTTGCACACATGAATTATTTTGCACGCGCGATAAGGATAAGGATTCCGATTTGATAATATATTCAAAGATATATGCGTAAAAAAGTTCTCTCAAAGACTTTGAAAGTGACGGAAGACGATCTATTCTATTTATAGATTGACGGAAATCACATATCTCATTCTAAATAATAAATCATGTATACAAGCATCAACGCGGAAATATCTGTAATATATATAGACAGCCACTCTTTTGATTTGTGAATTCTTTGATCCGTATATAATAAATTCTGCATTCATTCGAACAATTAATTCTATAGGCATTGTACATCATAATAAAAGAAATTCTATAATTCTTTGCGTTCGAAATTATTTATTGTTATATATATTATTTGATTAAATGTTTTATAGCAATGTATCATATTAATTAATTTATTACGTCTTTTTGAAGGCACGAGATTTAAGTAAAAGATACTAAATATTTTGAGTTTTTGAATTACGATTTGCATCCAAAATTTGATTTCTGAACTTTGAACCGAGATTTTTGATTTTTGGCTTTTTATCTTCATCCTTTAAATTAAAATTGGAATCACATATTTTTCATATACGTTAATCCAACCATTTCAAAAACAACCAAAAAAATATTTTTTGTTTTTATTTAACAGTTATGAGAAAATATTTACAAAATATTAAAGAAAAATTGGCAAACACCGGGCTACTTTTTTTTCAATTATATAATTCGTTTACGTAATTCCAAGACTTATCATTCCAAGACTGCGACTTAAGACCGAGATAAGAAAAAATTTTTATTGCGATTATAATTTACGTATAACATACTTATTAAATATTAAATATTCGCGTGCTCGATCATATTATTCGAATGAAAGAATTATAATCGATGATTATATAAAAATATAAAAAAGAGAAATATATATAAAATCAACTTTGACAGAAATTATCGTGCCGACATACATTCGCACGTAAACACAAACACACAATTCGAAGTGTCCGTGTAGTTAATAATATTTGGATTATAAAGTCGATAGGACACGAGAGAGTAGATATGCGAAGAACAGAGACAACGTAAACAATATGCGTGACAAAAAAAAAAAAAAAGAAATAAGTAAGTTGACGCTTCGCAAGATTTGCGTGTCGAGGAATCGTTCCGAATGCAGGGGAAGGGGGAGGGAGGGGAGGGAAGGGGAATCGATCGCGATCGATCGTTCGCCGGCGATGCGGGGGATGTCGACCTCCCGACTGCAGTCTCCGGCCCGAGAGAGGGTTGAACGACTCCGTCGTCGCTCCAACACCACCACCACCCCCTCGACTCTCGCCCTCCCCCGCCGCAAATAGGCCGGGGGGCGCGAGGAGGTACGCGCTCGCGCGCGTTTGAACGCGCGCCGCGTGCCAACGTATATGGGCGGTCTTACGTAAGCTTACCTGCATCAGCGGTATCGAGGTGACGACTTGCGCGAGGTCGTTGGATCTGACCGGTAGTTCCTTGGTCGCCGGTTCGTTCCCCGCGACCCCCTGCGTTTCGTTGCGGTCTCCGTCCTTCATGGTCGCGTTCATGTCCAGGATGATCTCGGTCTAGGGGATGGTCGGTCTTCCTCTCGACGAATGAAATATATATATATATATATGTACGAGAACGCGACGACGAAACGAGATTCTTGGCTGCCGGTAAAAACCCGGGTCGATTCACTGGCCGCGATGAGAATCGAGAGATCCGTAAAAGGAGACGACGATAATCGCGACGAGGAAGTTAAGAGGACGCGGGGCTAACTTCACACAGAGTGAGGAAGTACCCGGTTGCTTCCGTGCGCAAGAGCAACGACGTCGGGCGGCGCGGCTGTCACGTGGTCGATTCGCGAGCTTAACCGCGGTGTAAAAGTGTGTTACGAGTCTATAGATGGTAGCGGTATCGAAATACCGGATAATATCGCGCGCGGCGAGAGAGAGATAGAGAGAGAAGACACACCAGTGAAACACACATATACACACACAACGTTCGCGTTTACACGGACAGCACCTTACGCCACTGTACTTCGCGGCGACGATGCCACGACGAGAGCGCGAAGTTAGACACGACGAGTTAAACCTTAGGTCGCGATACGCGGGGAGGACAATACGAACGGAAGAGACGAACGACGACGATCGGGACGAACGAGGGGGTTCGACACTGCGAGAATCCCGTCACATCGGCCCGTTCCGGCTCGCCCCACCCGAGCCGAGCCGAATGCCGGGAGCCGAGCGCGACTACGTACCCCCTTCCCCCACTCCTTCGCATCGTGCCGAACGCGACTACGTACTCCCCCGCCCCTTCCCCTCTCGCGCGCCACGCGCGCTTATCCCGTCTGTCCGAAATCACCCGAGAGCTTTCGTCGTCGACGAACGTTGTCGCGTTTGCGTCGGTGTCGACATCTTCGTCATCCTGAACGCCGTCATCCTCGTCTAAGGACCGAGCGGAGCCGACGAGCAAAGGTTAGCCGCTCTCGCCGCAATTAGCCGGCATTGTTGGCACGAGCGCGGGCCGCTGCCAAAAATGAGCATTCGCGATTTCTCAGCGAATCCTCCTCCTCTCTTTCTTTCGCCGTTCGCGTTAAGCCCGTGTCACACTACGCATTGCGGACTCGAATCGGATTTGGAGTACGGACTGCGAATCGTCATCCATCCAATCAGAGCGAAGTAGCCAAGGATCTGATTGGATGATTGACGATTCGCAAGTCCGTAATCCAAATCCGATCCGCGTCCGCAATGCGTAGTGTGACACGGGCTTTAGGTCGCAATCGCGAACTCCGCTCGATTTTGAGAATACAGTCGCGTTCACTTGAGAGAAGAGAAACGCAAATTATTATTTTAACCAACCGAGCTTAATTGCCGCCCACGTATTACCGCGTGTTGGCTATAGTAGTGATTTAAAAATAAGTATATGTATATGTATTTTTTGTCCCTCCTCGCTTTCGGCTATTGAATAACGGCGGCTCTGCAAACATAAATATTATAAAAGCTAGATATATGTGTAAAGCGAGGTAATACAGCAACAATTTAAAATTAATTATTATGCCTTATTACAAAATATAAAAATATATCGAAATAAAATTTAAATCTCGCAAAATGTCTAAATTTAGTTTTGAGGAATTTTCATTCGGAAATGAGAAAATACGTCATTATTCAATTATTGAAAATATATTTTATAATATAATACTAGAGAGAGAGAGAAACAGAGAGAGAGCATTGCGTTCCGCACATAAAAAAATTAAAATATTAAATTTATAAAGAAATATACAAAGTTTGTTTTTATAATATTATCTCAGCAACAATTACAGCAAGTAATTCAACGCGAGATATAAATATCTAAACATTTGGCAGCTCCTTTTATATTTTGTTAGAATTAATGAAAGTATGAGTGCATAATGATAATTCTGCTTTATTTCTTCATTTATATCTTAGATAAACGCAGATAATCTTATCCTGTTTCTGCAACAAGACTTGTGTTTCTACAGCCGTCGTATTGTCTTCGCAGGATGTATTCTTGAAAGGTAACCAAATTAATAATATTTAAGAAGCTTCAGTAGGCATCGTCGTTAATTGTTTCGTGAGACCTAATACCTCGTGAGACCTCTGAAATAACAACTAAGAGAGGTGACCGTGACGGTTGCGAAACCACAAAAGTGTTTGTTTACACGTGACCGACAAACATACCGAGTGAAATATCTGTTAGTTATACACGAAATCGTAAATAGAAAAGAAAATAGAGAGAAAAGAAAAATATATATATACGTACATATATCTGGCTTTATATAATAATTTGTTCCACAGTTTTTAACTGTGATTGATTAGATCTCCCTTTTATTACGCGGAAAATTTTTGAGAGATTAGCGTTAGAATTAATATTCATTTAACTTATCTTCTATTAGTTTGAAATATATTATCGTACATGTATTGTTCAATAGATATAGTCCACACACATTTATAATAGAAATAAAAATAACGTGATTTCTACAACAATAACGTTATAAAACCTATAATACTGTATTATAATTTTTATCTTTTTCGCGTGAAATGAGCACGTTAAAATATCACAACACTCGCGATTATAAATGCAAAAATAATTTATTCATGTAAAACTTGACACACGTAGAACTTTAATTTTCGATATCCGATAAATTTCAGAATAATTCCATAATAAATGTTTTCACACTTTTCACATTAAATACAAAAATCATTCATTTATCTCCCTTTCTTTCTCTTTGTCGAAGATTTCTGCTTCTTATTTTTAATAAATGTTTATGTTAACAATCTATTCTTAAAAATAAAATATAATACAAAGTATTCTAGTTAATTTCTAAATATTAAAAATTATAACAACGTTTTTAAAATTTATCTGAAAAATCTTGAGTATATCCAAAAGAAAACCTCCGTCAACGTGGCAGAAAAAAAGTGCAATTATAAACAAATTATTCATATAAATAATTTCTTGATTGTTATAACATTGAATTGTCAAACTGTACGAAATGTCAAAATATGCGATTTTTGCGATAGCTATACTTATGAAGTAAGCATATCGAAATAATCAATCAGCCGGCCGGCCGTGGAAAAGACGTTTCAATGCTTCAATATATTTAAGTTCGAGGTTTCCCTCTTTTTTTAGAGAGGAAAATGTATTTCAAATATTTACAAAATAAGAACTTATGTATATCAAAAAAAATTTTTTGAACTATCATAGAACACATTTAATTATTTCTTGCTAATCAATAACTTTTGGTCATATCTATCAGCACAAAAATTCGCGCATTTTTTTTGTTGTATCGCCCAATTTATATTTTCACGCTCTAAAAACTCAGCAGTATTTTTTTTTCTATAAAGTGTCAGCATATGGCGTTTTATTATGCTACATTGTATATATGCCAGAGATGATAATGCGCAAACGTACAAATAATTGCGTTAAACATTAATTAAATTCACGGATAGGCTCGTCAAAAAAATCGTTTATAGATAATTAATTTTCCTTTCGAACTGCTCAAACAATGCAATGATTTACGTATCCGTCTCATTGCGCCGTTTATTACATTTAACATTCAACAGAGTAAAAGGAACTTATCGATGCGATCAAATTTTCTATCGATAACAGTGTGAAACATATTTCGCGCCTAGACACGCTAACTCTATCTTATTGATAAAAGTATTACGTCTCGTAATTATCTTATGAACACACACAAATTGATTCGCTCCACGCCATTTCCCTCTGATGATCTAATTAACTCTCGCAGTATAAAACTTAATGATTTCTGATTTGCTAATGAAAAGATCAATGATTGATCAATCAGCGATACAGATATGGTATAATTAACGTATATCTGTAAATGATAAATCGATCGGTATTACGTCTTTGTATACAAGCAGCGTCAAAAATATGTTGACCATAATGTATATTAGGAATGGAAAGCTCAATGCTAGCCCGGACGTTGGCAAAGATTGGCCGATAGACGTAAAGCGAATTAATTTGCCGCTTTCTTGAGGAAGAATGTGTGGCACAATAATTATTGCATCGCGCAGCAGCGCACGATGCATGAGGTTGACCGTGTTCGCCGCACACATCGCGTGCATCAGTCGGCCGACTTTTTCTTCGTTTTTCCTAATGAGCGCCGGTTGCGCATTCGATATGTATATATATATATACTATATGTACCGCATCGCAGTACGTATACATATATATATATATAAATCTTGTCGAGGAAGCAATTTGCAGTAAAAGCGGCCGATTGAGATGAGACGAGAGTTAGCGAGAAAGACGCGGGAGCCGCACCTGCATCGCTCTCGTCTCTTACGTGCTATCCGAATGAGTCAACAACCTTTAATTCTCATAGGCAACGAACTATGAACGCTAAACATAATATTTATCCCGATTTCAACGGAATAATCCTGATTTTACATTGCTTTTTAGATATGTATATGGTGTCCAATTCACAAAAAAATTTCTCTTTTTCAATTATAAACTCATATTTATGCTGACGATGAGTATCTGCAAATTCTAATGTGCAAGTTATTTAATTTAAAAAGCTGACGTATCGTTTAACTTTCGATGAAATAAATTTAAATAGTTTTTGCGTTGTATATAAAAACATATGTTTTTTATTAAATAATTTTAAATGTTTTAAATAATTGTTTTAAATTTTTGTACTCGTTAAAAAACTCTCTCTTTTTTTTGTAGTTATTATCACAATTCCTTTGATAAATGTGATTTTCTAAAATATATTAATCTATAATTTCTAGTTTAAAATTTGATAAAAAATATTATTATGTAAAAAATGTGAATTGAGATTCTATCCAATATTTAAATTGTAAATTTGATTATTCTCAGTGATTGCAAAATACGATAAAATATTTCTGTGGCATTCACTTCTTGGAAGAAATTACGCCGTGTTAACGGTCTATCAAAATTGCAAAGAGCACGTAATCAACGTATCACAATCCAGTTTTTTTTCCCACTAACATTACAATAATCCATCTAACATGCTTGCAACAAAAATGTATAATTTATGAACATTTCATTTTTTGCGGCACACAAGCCGCGGTCAAAACGATTATGTATACATATGTGTATTACTGTAAATATATATATCAGCGATTAATTTATCATAAAACTTATTTGTCGATATATATTATCATTTGCGTTTCTTATGCGCATATCTAATCGTTAGGACTTTTGAAAGAAACGCATGTAAGACACACGTGCCATATAGTATATCGGCGTCACATTACTATTTTTTGATATTTAAAAAATATTATTATGTAGATACATAGATATATATCTTATACTTATTAATTTAGAATAAATAAATTTACACTCCATGGAAATAATTTCGCGCCATAATCGCAAAATATATACGCGATTGCTTACAATTAGTATATATATATATATATTTGAGATATTTAAATAAACCGCATAAAGAATTCAATCATTTCAATGCAATTTCAATAGATATTTCTGTTAGGCATTAAATATGTCAGATAAAATCTGTTCTTGTTTTATTATTTCAATCGTGCTGATGCAATCTCATCTCATTCAATTATATAGAATAATTTTATATAAAAAAAAATGATTGTTTCGGTTGTATTATTTTAAGATCAGTTGCGTTACTTTGGACATGATAAATGCGATGTACTCAATACTTAGGCTACCTGTAC